TTGATTTATTGTCTCTCACCATTGTATGAGGTAGGCATTAGCGTGAAGGGTCTTGCCCAAGGACCCACACTGGATGGTGTTATGTGCTCATTTTATATATATATATATATATATATATATATATATATGTGGCATTCTACAGGTGGGCATTCTACAGGCAGTGAAAGTCCATCCATGTAGCCATCAATCCTGGAGACTATCTCAGCTAATTTTTGTGCGAGAGATGGCTAGATGTACAGGGAACAACATAAAGACAAGTCATCATTAAGTGTCGACATATTTTTGAGTCTTTGGTTGACTTAAAATAAATGTGAAAAAACTCACTCAAGAAAAGTGAGAAGATGCAAATTTCGCACATGAAGGCCGTAGCCAAGATTCGAGCCATGAAACTCAGAACTGTGTGACAGACATGCTAACCTTTTGAACTCGGATTTGCACCAAAAATCTGCATTCGTATTGGCATTGCCAGCAAATGACTGAATCAACTCAAATGGGTTGCTCAATGTACTATTGCCAAAAAACACGACATAGTGCAACAAATGAAAAATCTATTTAGCATAAAAATGGTAAATTGAGAGCACTTACTGTAAAATCCAGTGACTTTTTTTATTTGCAAAAATATATACTCTAAATTATACATTGCAAAAAAAAAACAAAGAAAGGAAAAAAAACAACAACAAAGAAAATCAGTGTGCTATTAAGCACACAGTCCAAAATGGCATATGGCTTCAACTGCCAGATACATAGATGTCAAAACATGCATGTACCGGTAATCCATTTTCTAGTGTAATTGTTGATTTTGCAGATATTTTTTCAAAATTGTTTCTTGGTAAAATGAATAGTAAATATTGCCTGCATGCAGTAATTTCAGCTTTCCAGGTCTTGCACATCATAAAATATCCCGCATCTGTTTATCGGTATAGGTGGGTCTTTATCTGGAGACATGGTCACAGATGAGGAGTTGTACATCCGTTGGCTGGAGATCGTGTCCTTCCTCCCTGTAATCAGCTTCCATACACCTCCATGGGTCTGTGGAGAGGAACAGGTATAGACATTAAACCAGTTAAATGAACAGTTCAATGAACTATACGGTAACTTTCAATACATATTGGCAGTCCTCTGCCAGGGCCAAACCATCCTTGGTTCTCCACCCACTACGAAGACATAAATTTTACCGCAAGCTGGTTATTATTCAGACTGGAGGCTGACAACCCTTGAAGTTGATATTGGAGAATTATTTGTTGCTTAATTTCTTCTTGAAGCAATACATGCTCAATAGAGTGCACTACATGACTTAACTTCAGTGAGCAGAGACGCTGTTGATTCAATCTTTCTGGCTTCGTATGCGGTTTGAAGAAGCAAACAAGGTGTTCAACCTGGGAAGGAGAGCTGCATCCACACAAACTACTGCTATGACACAACTCTTGTGGGCGGCATTATTCTGCACAAAACAATTACTGACATTAAAACAGGAGTCACAAACGTTCAGCTAGAGATTCCTTCATCCCATTGAAAATAATAAAGAGATTTGTGGATCAAGGATGGAATTCATTCAAACCTCTGCATCGGGACCCAAAAATCCAAAATTAATTCTAGCATCCATGAATTTATTCTTATCATCATCAAAATGTCATGGATTGTTCCTTGACCCCTCATCCACTTTTCCTCACAATTTTGTGTAAAGTTCATTTCACACAATGGCAGACTGATGTTGCAAATAAAAGTGAGCCCGGCTTAGGCTGTTCAGTGAGCCAACGGCCTCCTCATTGCTGTGCAGGTTGGTTCCCACGAGAAGATGCTCTATCCAAACAGAGGCTTTGCCCCCTGCAGGAGGGCTACTTATCTACTTGATCCCTCCTGCTGTTCGTTGCATGGCATCAAAACATGTCGTACAGTCTCAGAGAATCCGGTGACTTCTCACAACGTGGACTTAAGGTTCAAGTTTCCCGAACTGACAACATTTGATATTTGTCAAGAGAGGGAAGCCGCACCACCTCGTCCTCCATGCACCCAATAGGAGTGATTGACTGGCCCCTTCCCAACATCACCCGTGGTTTTGGGGTCTATCTGTTCTTTTTTATAATGCCTGCTGTAGATTTATAACTTACACTCTGGAGAGCCATCGACGCAGGAATGATAATGAATTTAAGAACACCACTCAGAAAAGAACATGGCTTTATTGTGCTAGTTGAACGTTCCATGAGTAGTTGACAAGCGTGACAATCAATTTATTTTCCACTCCGCAAATGATATTGGTTGTGACTTGTGTTGCGATGTCAGAGATAAAAATAGACCGTTTGGGAAGCGTGTTAATGTTTTCCATTTTGGCCTGTGCATTGCTCTCCGTTCATCAAGTTTGGATAAGGTGGGACAAAGGAGGTGTCTTGGAGGAGTACAGATCACTGCTCTTTCGTGGGCATTCCAAAGTAATTTAAGCCTAGCACATCATGTGCAATTTATACTGTCACAATGGAAGTGTTAAAGATCATAAGAAACACAAACCACTTGGCTTCTTATTTACAATGCTCTAGTCAAACTCAGCACATTCCTACAAATGTTCTCCATATTTCTTTTCTTGATTTTATTTTATTTTTTTATTAACGACGCATCAGCTATTGTTTTTGTCATGGAATACTGTAGACGATGTGACCCTTAATGGAATGCGCAAGTAAATTACCCAGATGGAAAGAAAAGAACAACTTGAACCTTGTCAAAAACACAAAGCCAACACTGACGTCCTGTGTGAACTTCTACTGCTTGAAGTGACAAAATCTCAGATGGACAAAGTCGTCCCTTTTGTTTAAGACAGAATAACCCAAAATGGTCACTGACATAACCCGAAAAGGACCAAAGTTAAAATAAGCAATGACTGTGAATCAAGCATTGCTGTATGTTTGTGGTCGAAGAGAATTAGATGAAAATAAACAAATGCTTCTGAGCAGGATAGCCATCCTGTTTTTTTTCTTTTTATATCAGTCGACGATATACATACTTGACTCTGACTCAGTCTCCCCACTAGTGGACCTAGAAGTGGAGAAAATGCACAATGATGAGCCCGAGTGACGTGTGTGTGATGATAGCAGGGGAGATGACTAATGGATCAAGAAAGTAGGCGAGTAAGACCAAGCATGCCTCCAGACCTAAATCCTATTGAGTACGTGTGGGGGACATTCTCATATTAAAGGTGAAGAAGTACATGGTCTTGAACATCCGTCAGCTTCGTGGAAGAGGATTCCAGTGGAAACTTCTGAGGCTCTGCTGAACTCAATGCCAAGGAGTGTGTGTGTGTGTGTGGGGGGGGGGGGGGGGGAAAAATACAAAATATTGGCCAAATTTGGACATTTTCAATTAAGGGTGTACTGTAGTCCTTTTTGTTGCCAGCAGTTCAGACTTGAATTGCTGTGTGTGGAGTTATTTTGAGGGGGCAGTAAATGTACACTGATTACTTCAAATTGTAGTCAAGTATGGTTTCTTCATTGCTGTCCACTGAAGACGTGAACAAGAATGTGAGGGGGCTATTCACTTTTGTGAGATGGAGGAATAGAACTTTTTTTTTTCTCTCACTGCATGGGCAAAGGTTTATAATGCAACCAAAATGATTTGTGTTGCCGGTGCTTTGTCCTGCAGACAAGTTTGAATATTAAAATCAAATTCAAGAGAGGCGGCCCGGTAGTCCAGTGGTTAGCACGTCGACTTCACAGTGCAGAGGTACCAGGTTCAATTCCAGCTCCGGCCTCCCTGTGTGGAGTTTGCATGTTCTCCCCGGGCCTGCGTGGGTTTTCTCCGGGTACTCCGGTTTCCTCCCACATTCCAAAAACATGCATGGTAGGCTGATTGAACACTCTGGATTGTCCCTAGGTGTGAATGTGAGCGTGGATGGTTGTTCGTCTCTGTGTGCCCTGCGATTGGCTGGCAACCGATTCAGGGTGCCCCCCGCCTACTGCCCGAAGACAGCTGGGATGGGCTCCAGCACCCCCCGCGACTAGTGAGGATCAAGCGGTTCGGAAGATGAATGAATTTACTGGTATGTAGCCTAAATGGCTGAGAAAACCCAATTAGATCAGCCATCTCAACTAACTGTTTTTGAGATGTGGGTTTTTAATGCAGAGCGTGCGCATGCTTCTGTACTAATGTCATGTGCTGTGCTCTTCTTCTGTAACACAGGTGCTAAACTTAACTCGGATATACATAACAAAGCACCAGAGGGATGTGGTGCCACTCATCGAGAAGTATGCCAAGGAATGGCAGGAGACGGGAAATCCCATCTATCGGCCCATGTGGTGGCTCAATCCAGAGGATCCCGTAACCTTCACCATTGACGACCAGTTCCTCATTGGAGATGAGGTAACGTTCCATCACAATCTCGTGCTGTGCATGTATCCAGATATCTAAGCTTTTTTTGTTTTGTTTTGTTTTGTTTTTGCACGTCGCAGGTTCTGGTGGCACCTGTGGTGGAGAAGGGGGCAGTGAGGAGGGACATTTACTTACCTGACGGGGGCTTCCAGTGGCAGGACAGCCAAAACGCTCAGGTGTTCGATGGAGGGACGTTCCTACAGGACTACCCTGTGCCCTTGGAGGCGGTGGGTGTTTTCTTACGGCGAAGATGAGTCACATGTGACTTATCCTGTTACTGTCTCCAATCATATTTGACACTCGTGCTGTTTTAAACTTGCACTTTTTCCACAAGAGACCATTGACCTTGCCTCAATGCCATGAATTGAGACAACTTGTCAAAATATAACTTTATACTTGCACTTTACAGTTCGACATGATTTCTATTTTTGTTTTTCTTTGGGTGTAGTTTTCTTCTTTTTTTTTTTTTTTAAGACTGTTAATCAGTTTTACCTCTTGGATGATTTTGATTTAATTTTGTTTTTTTTTGTTATGCTTCTTTGTATGTAAGTTCTGGAGAAATATGTGCGTTTACATACTTGTTTTTGCTTTTCTACAGTCTAAAAAGGTATGAACTGCTGCTGTCTCTCTCGAAAAGGAGGGGCAAAACACGCCCCTTGTTGCTTAAAATGAAGTTGAATCTCTCAAGAAGACCAAATGAAGTGAAATGAATATGGTGTTGGAATGGGCTTTATTGAGGGAACCTTAGCTCTCAGAAACTTTGTGCAGACACAATCCTTGCTCACACGTTTTGAAAGAAGGCTTCTACTTGAACCGCTTAGGCCACAGAGCTGATGTTTGAATGAATGTAACTCGCCCACAAATTGTCACTCTTTTTCAGTATCAACAGACACGCCAGAGTATAACACCTCCTTAAGTTTAAACATTTATTTGGTTTCATTGCCTTAACGGCCCTCAGAGAGAAAACGTAACTCCAAAGAGACACGCGACAAAAATGAGTTTGACACCCCTGAATTAGAGGGTGTGCATACTTTTACAACTCCATAATGTCAGTTGTTTATTTTTACTTATCCTCCTGAAAGGATTGCTTTTTTAAACTGAGTTGTTCATGTTATAGGTCATGTTAACCCAAAAAAAAAAGGATTACTCATGGTCTCTTTTTTTTTTTTTTTTTACATCACAAAAGAACTGCCATTTGAACAGGGGTGTGTAGACTTTATACCACTGTATTAACTCTCTTCCAGTGTCAGATGATCAAAAGTGAGAATTTCTATCATTGTCAAGGTAATTTAGATCACAGGCGGAAAAGTCTGGTGCTGGAGGGCCGCTATCCTCCATGTTTTTGATGTTTCCCTCCTCCGATAAACTTGATTCAAATGAACAACTCATCAGCAAGCTGTGCAGAAGCCTGATAACAATCCTGATCATTTGAATCGGGTGTGTTGGAGTACATGCAGGATAGCGGGCCACCCCTGATGGCGACCCAAGATCACGATGTTGTGCAGATGTGTCATACGAAGTGCACAGTGGAGGAATGTACCAGAAAAAGAAATGTTTGTATGGCAAAATATGTTTTGTCCAGAAGCACTGAGCTTTTCTCGCTTCCATTTACTGTGTTAGTAATTGTCTTCAGCCAGATGGCGTTATATTTATAACAGGCCTGCCTTCCTGTGGATGCAAATGGGGTCGGCAAAGGATTAGTAAGGCTGTGTGTACATCAATCACGTTGTCACGACGCATCCTCATCGATTTGTCTGTTATCCAGTGCAAGTGAAATAACGACAACAATAACAACAGGATTTCGCTGGGGTTTATGACTAAAGGCATTTCCATGTAATTTTGCCACACTGTGCTGAGCTTCTCTTGACATCGCATCCATTTCTTCAGTACAGTGAACTGTTTCATTTTCATTCGTCTCCTGGACTAAAATACTCTGGCTAATGAGATACGTTATCCAGTGATCTATATGTTCTTGTTTATTTGCAGTCACATTCAAATTGACAGAAGTCATAACCTTGCACTTGCTTTGCTTTTCGCTTCCTATTCTATAGTATTCTGATGGTTATTGTTTCAGTGGTGTGAGGATACAGACAGACTGAATGCTTTATTTACCACTCCGTTTTCTGTAACCGACCCGTTTACTGTATCAACACTCAGGTCTACTGAAGTTTATCCAATCACCAAATGTCTTAGTACAACACAGTCATGTCTTAATCTCCCCTAAAAATGAATGTACAATGGACAAACTGTGATTTTTTTTTTTCCCCCCACCTGAGGAGCTGTACAGTTCCCACTCGTCACGCGTTGCAGAAATGCCGTGGTATGTTTAAGTGTAAGCTGCCGGAAATGCTTTGTTATTCGCTGTACAGACTGAGCAGACTGTGCCTTAATTTAATATGGAAAATTCGAGTGCCTGGATTATTGCAGTATCAGCAAAGTACATATGATGATGACTGTGCCATTACAAATGTTTGTTTGTATTTTTTTTCTCTCTCTCCTGTAAATCAGCGAATTTAGAATGACTAATTTTCAAATAAAGTTTACATTTTCTTACTACCTCGAGTCTGATGCTTGACATTTATGGAACACCTTTAGGCTTTTTAAAGGCAAGGAACACTGAAGTTTTTTCTCTCGTCATGCCATCCACATCACACATGAGCAGTTTGCTCAAGACTTATTAAATCTTCACAAATTGCTTGTAATCCAAATATAAATGATTTATAGTTAAGAGAGCTTTAAGTGGGAAGGATTCCCTTATGGTTGTCACAATCAGCCCAATCTCCACTGAGCCTTTCGTCCTTACCCTGCGGTCTTGGCTCCTCTCCCCCTTGGGGCCAAGGGGGCCTCGCTCCTCTCCCGCATTAAGACAGGTGCAGCTGGCCGGAGTCATGCGTGGTTCCTCAGTGCCAACAAACAAGCTCACACTCTCCATTTACACCCTGGATTTAATCGCTCACATTCAGAAGGTGCTTTTTTAAATCGAGATAAGATGTGGGGAAGGCAGCTCCATGCTATGTCAGCTGATGAAGACAGGACAAACGAAGGATCCTGTGTGCTATTGCCTCGATCTCTTTGAAGGATACATATGTCTCTGGGATCAACCTCACTGTATGTTCTGTACAATAAATCAGCTTGCTGCATATAATGATAATAATGCGTCAGATTTGTATGACACTTTTCTGGACTCTGGACACACAAAGCACTCACAATGCCAAAACTTATATTTGAAGACAGCACGTAGACAGTTTCATCCAGACAACCACAAACCAACGTTTAAATTATATTTGTTTTCATGTAATCATACATCACAATTAGGCATATCTACACGATTGTCCAATTGTGCCTGAGAAAAATATTGTCCAAAATAACTAGAAATGAAGGCTGGCAATTGTGATGGAACACTGCTGCACAACGCAGGAGTGAATTACCTTTTTGAAAAAAAAAAAACAAAAACAAAACAGGACAGGACAAAGTCACGTCACCTCTTTTGTTTTGAGGGAGCAAAAGCAGTTCATGAATTAAGATGGCGACAACTGCAGCTTGCAGAGCTCTCTCAAAGTCTACTTTTAGAAAGTGCAAGTCAAGGCTTTAAGTATCAGTGTCTGCTCTTCGAGCTTGCCAATTAAGTCTACAATTGAATTGGTGGTGGTGTTCAGAAGGAAACTCTTTATTAGGCTGGTAAAGCTTTGCCTAATTTCTCTCTTTATGCTTGAATTGCAATAAGAATGTTTTCTTCAGGAGCAATACTCATCAAATCTTTCTGGGGTCATTTAGGGTCAGCATAAACGTTGCTGTATGTAAACATAACAAACACGTGAATTCGGAGATGAAAAGGCCGTTTTGTATGTTAATCAGCCAATCGGAAGGTTCTCGGATGAGTAAGCTGACCTCAGGAATGCAGTCTTGAAATGTTAGCCTGCTATCGGAAGCCCAGGCCAGGGTGACATCAGGCTGGGCATGAGTGTGTATGAGTGAGTGAAAAGGCGACTGCCCACATGGCGGACAGTGTCACATGTAATTGTTTCCTGCCCGTGCCCTCCTTGGACAGGTGTCACCTTGTGACGCCTTCAAACATCTTGCTTCAATATGAGTGACTGGCTGAACCTTCCATGGGACAATTACTAAACACGGTACTCTCCAAAACGGAAATGAGTACCTGAGTGCTGCTAGTGCAGCCATGTGGTGAGGTGTCAGGATAATGTGACTGAGGGGGGCGGTAATAATAATAATGAATACTTAATGAAAACCTTACAATTTGCTTCAGAGTAACTGCTGTAGATGAATACATCGAAAAAAGGATCTCTTTATCTTTCATGTGCCTTTTTTAATATAAGCAGGACAGCTATGTGCCGTATATTTGATACAAATAGCTAATGATGCATGATTAAAGGTGAAACTAAAAGTTTGATTGATTTGACAAAAACACACAAGAGACTATCATACCCAGTTTTTTTCTGAAATTCACTTTATTGTTAAAACTTTTGGTATGCAACAGCTGCTTATCATTTCTTACCTTAAATTACAAGCAAACATTTACAGCATCATCTTCAAAAAACATGCAGCGGTATAAACATGAATGTTTTCCGATAAATCATACGATTACATTTACTGGCAAAGGCAGTCAACAACAGATGGGAGAAGTACTAAAAGCAGAAAAAGAAAAAGCCTTGGTAAATAAGCATGTCTACATCTGTTCACTGTGCGTTTCTAAAATTTGGTAAAAATAAATAAAATGTACCGGCAGCATATACACAATAGAAATGCACTCTAGGCAAGACAACTGCTCATGATAGACTGGAAAGATGTCCAGACCCCATTTTCTGTTGCATGCATGATAAGAGTAGCAACGACACATGCCCTCATGTCACAACTTCCAAATGGACTAATGAAACATAGAATTGATGTGACGTGACAAAACCATTTCATTCATGGAGTGTACAACTACTAAGTCGTTAATGAACAATTGTGACCATACGTTGTGACTGCGCGAGGGACCGTCATCCCCGATGCGGCTCATCATGGCCGCATCGAACTGCATCTCAACTACCGCTGTACATATACATGCTGGAAGTAAAAGCACTTTTCTACACCAAGTTAGCAAACCCTGAGGATGAAAACAAGACAAACTTTTGTCACTACATCATACATGAACACGCAACAAGTTAATCATATGTGCATGATTCAGAAAGGCATTGAGGAGCCCATTGATGGAAACAGCTCGAAGTCTTCTACAATCCAGCTCACTCTTTGGCCCAAAGCTGATCATGGGTTTCGATTTGAAATGCTTGACAATCAGCACGATACTAAATCGCGACAAGGCAATTTTGACAAGTGGAAGTCGCGTGCAACTGCAACTAATGAAATGGAAGCAGACCTCAAAGAAAATAAACAACGGAACAAAGCAGCAAATATATCTCACACCACATTGCAAATGAAAACCTTAGATATTGGATATTGCTCAGTGCTTCAGATGATGGGAAATAAGAGACGTCAGATCTGATCGCTCCTCCCTTCCTGCCCTTTTCACACAAGCAGTTCATCATAAGGCACTGGTGCGTACAGTCCTGTAAATTGAAATGTGAATGCGCGCACTACGTGCAGCAAACGCCACTAGAATCCACAATTTGCCATGTACGTACAGTCCACATAAACACCTCACAAATAAAATGAGAGCAAGGTTTGTAAAAGCATCCCAATACACCAGTTTGTTCGTGTAACATCACCTCAAAATAACCCAAACCAATATTTGATTCTGTACAGCTTCAGGAAGAATACGCATCGTGAGATGGAGCAGAGAAAGGCCCTCACTTGCAAGCTTTGTTCTCAAGCTGGAAGAGGTCAAGTATGTCCAACATGGCCTGTCTGATGTTGCCACCAAAACGGTGAGAGTCCTGTCGAGAAGAAACCAAGAGCAAGATTTAAACAAGTCAACATAAAGATCAAGAGTCACCGCGGTAAAATACAGGCGAGCGTACAGTTTCTGGGCTGGAGTGTTTGCTGGAGATGTGGAAGTTGATCAGGTTTTCTCCAACGATGATGTAAGACACACCGTAACCGTCATCGGCCACCTTGATGAGGGAACAAAAAGACAAGTGAGGTTCTTCCCAATCTGCGGACTATGCTGACATATTCCACAACAATCCGTGTTTCGTGGAT